TAATATCGTTTTTCACATTAAGTGTGTTTCTCTGAATATCCAAAGCCCTGAAGTCAATAATACCGGACAAAAGTGGAGACAACTTCTTGAATGGTGTTTCGCGAGTAACTTATCTGACAGTATATTATATACACTGTATAGCGATAGCAATGGCTTTTCACTTATGGCGAGAGCACTGTATTATGAGTTTACTTTTTGCCAAATTGACGGAGCGTTTCGTTTTTGTCGCACAAGAATTGAAAAATCTTTTACACATNTTAATTATATTTAATTTTATTTTAAGTTAAAATCATTAACGAAATAAAAGCATTTATTAGGACTTAAGCAACTTTTCGCTCATAATTTTTCTCTCTTTTTAATGAATTTTTTATATAAAAAGAAATCGAAATTTGTTTTCAAACTAAAAAAAAGTTGAATGAAATCGTGAAAAATGGATTTAATGTTGAAGTGTGTGTTAATGGTATAAAAAGCAGAGAAATCATATTAATATTGCGCGACTGCTTCTCAACAATTTTATAATCACAACAACGGATAGTATTAGTGAAACATCACATCATTTATACGCACACTGTATATACAGTGCACTCTCTTTCTTATGTTTTGTTGGCAATCACTGGAGCACTACTTTTACCACTAATACTACAAATGTCTTACCAAATGAGAGAGAGAGAGAGAGAGAGAGAGACTGAGAGAGATTGCTTACAAAGGCGGACACTTCTGGGCATTGCATTCATTGATGTGCGGACGCGGACGTAATGTGGGGTCGCATAGGATCTCATCGACCACTTCTTTGGTCTCATTGTTGATACAAATTGGTTGAGACATCTGATAGCCTAACAAATCATAAAATAATTTCCGTTTTTTATAAGAAACCGCACAAAAACTGGCGTTTAATTTATCATCAATTCATCAACAAAAAAAAAGTTTACATAAAAATTATTCATTTGATTAAAAGCCAGTGATTTTCAAGAATGCATTGAAAAACCGAATGAACAAAACCAATGAACAAAACCAATTATTATGGCTTTTATTCTAATATTTTTGCAATTAATTTAAAGCATTCTTTTAGTTAATAGTAATTTCTTTATATAAATTGTTTCTTTTATACAACACTTTAAACAACACAAAAAGTCTAAAGAATTTTTTAATCAAAAGGAGTGCGAGAAAAAAATATACAATTATTTTTCATTCAAAATTACAACCATTTAAAGAATGCGAGTGAGAAAAGTGTTGAGAAAACATCTGATTAATTATATTTAATTTTATTTTAAGTTAAAATCATTAACGAAATAAAAGCATTTATTAGGACTTAAACAACTTTTCGCTCATAATTTTTCTCTCTTTTTAATGAATTTTTTATATAAAAAGAAATCGAAATTTGTTTTCAAACTAAAAAAAAGTTGAATGAAATCGTGAAAAATGGATTTAATGTTGAAGTGTGTGTTAATGGTATAAAAAGCAGAGAAATCATATTAATATTGCGCGACTGCTTCTCAACAATTTTATAATCACAACAACGGATAGTATTAGTGAAACATCACATCATTTATACGCACACTGTATATACAGTACACTCTCTTTCTTATGTTTTGTTGGCAATCACTGGAGCACTACTTTTACCACTAATACTACAAATGTCTTACCAAATGAGAGAGAGAGAGAGAGAGAGAGAGATTATACGCACACTGTATATACAGTGCACTCTCTTTCTTATGTTTTGTTGGCAATCACTGGAGCACTACTTTTACCACTAATACTACAAATGTCTTACCAAATGAGAGAGAGAGAGAGAGAGAGAGAGAGAGAGAGAGATGTGGAGAGGGATTCTAAATGACTTTGATTTTGATAAATATTTTATAGTTAACTCATATAAAGAAAACAAAATTGTTTAATGATCTATAACACAAGTCTACTAACTTTTTTCAAATAGATTTTGTTTTAAATTACTTAAAAGTAATCAATTTTTCTGATTGAATCTCAAGTTTAAAGCGAGTTATAAGTTATAAGTTTATTGAGAGATACGGTATAACAGAGTTAATAAATTATACTCTTATTTGACTATAAATTATCATTAAATATATATAAAGTTATATATATTGATGGTTACCTCTGCCACAAGACACAGAACAGGGCGAGTAGTTTGTCTCCGACCAGATATATGTGGGACGACTACATGAGGTGCCGTCACCGCCACAGATGCCACAGCCGTCCACTTTGTTATCCGAACCCAACACCAGATCACAGCCAACAGACTATCAGTGTTTTAAACCATATCTCATGTTATTCTCATTGTGTCTTCATTTAGCGTTTATTTAATTAAATCCAAACAAAACGTCTCAATTACCAGACATTTTCCGGTGACACACATATCCAGAGACCCGTCTCGACATCGGGTCCCGTCTTCCGCTTTAGGCGAGTGTTTTGCCACAAAATTGAATGTCTTCGCTCTACACGTGAGACTACAGGGATCTAATGGATCCAAATATGGTAACCACTCGTATAGCCTTCCCCTATACGGCTGTTTATTATAATTAGAGCATTGAGTGCCTCGAAAGTCAACATCGCTCGGACACGGCTGTAATGCAAAGTAAAGTTGTTGTTATGTAATAATTATCAACAATATTGCAATATTGCAAAAACCATAGACACCAAACACACTCAACACACCTGCATATTACAGATTTTATGTCTTTCGGCGGTTCCTTCGATACACCCTCTCTTATGATTGCATTTTCTGAGCGAAACACTGACCCCTCCATCGCAACTCCTGTGGTTATAAATGACACAAATGTTTTATATATTAATTATGATTTGTTTTTTCTGTTTAAACATTTATATCATTTATTATAAGTAATGATACAAACCGAGAACAGATCGACCATTCACTCCATTCAGACCAACCATCTTCTGTTTCCGATTCAAATCTATGATTTATAATCTAAATATAAATTTAATAATTTTATTACTTAGTAATCATAAATTATTTCATAATGATTGTTAACTTTAAATAAGAAATTAACGCTAATTTCTGAATCATCGCAAAAGTATATAATTAAATATTTTTTTATTGCTTTTTTGTTACTGAATTAGTTATTAAGTTTTGTTTAGTTTTCTTTGTTTTTCTACGAAATTGATTTCAGGAATTTATAATAAATATTTCAATTATGATTATGTCTCGATATTATGCCTAATTATTACGTCTATAACTCGAGGGCTTTCAGTGGAAAAAAAGATTTATGAAACGAGAAGTGAGGCCTATATTGTATCGGAGGTGCGGATCATTGAAGCTATTTTTAAAAATAAAGATAATTCATAAACTGTTACCATATTTGGGCTATGAATTGACGAAAAAGCAAATTAATGCCGAAATAAATAGAGATTATATGAAAAATTAGCGATTAATTGCATTCATATTTTAAAATAGTAAATATTTTGAGATTTATTGACATTTTAAACATTTATATCATTTATTATAAGTAATGATACAAACCGAGAACAGATCGACCATTCACTCCATTCAGACCAACCATCTTCTGTTTCCGATTCAAATCTATGATTTATAATCTAAATATAAATGTAATAATTTTATTTAAGTAATCATAAATTATTTAATAATGATGGTTAACTTTAAATAAGAAATTAACGCTAATTTCTGAATCATCGCAAAAGTATATAATTAAATATTTTTTTTATTACTTTTTTGTTACTGAATTAGTTATTAAGTTTTGTTTAGTTTTCTTTGTTTTTCTACGAAATTGATTTCAGGAATTTATAATAAATATTTCAATTATGATTGTCTCGATATTATGCCTAATTATTACGTCTATAACTCGAGGGCTTTCAGTGGAAAAAAAGATTTATGAAACGAGAAGTGAGGCCTATATTGTATCGGAGGTGCGGATCATTGAAGCAATTTTTAAAAATAAAGATAATTCATAAACTAATACCATATTTGGGCTATGAATTGACGAAAAAGCAAATTAATGCCGAAATAAATAGAGATTATATGAAAAATTAGCGATTAATTGCATTCATATTTTAAAATAGTAAATATTTTGAGATTTATTGACACGATTCTGGATGTCATTTACAGAAATGCGAAGAGACTTAAGGCCCTCTCGAGTCACAAGTCTCGGCGCNTACCATATTTGGGCTATGAATTGACGAAAAAGCAAATTAATGCCGAAATAAATAGAGATTATATGAAAAATTAGCGATTAATTGCATTCATATTTTAAAATAGTAAATATTTTGAGATTTATTGACACGATTCTGGATGTCATTTACAGAAATGCGAAGAGACTTAAGGCTCTCTCGAGTCACAAGTCTCGGCGCTTTTCCATCAAAATAATTGAAAGTTTTTTGTATGCAATCAAATGGCATCACATCTTAAAATATATCAAATAATGTGTAAAAGATTTTTCAATTCTTGTGCGACAAAAACGAAACGCTCCGTCAATTTGGCAAAAAGTAAACTCATAATACAGTGCTCTCGCCATAAGTGAAAAGCCATTGCTATCGCTATACAGTGTAAAGCAATAGCTTTATGTAATATACTGTCAGATAAGTTACTCGCGAAACACCATTCAAGAAGTTGTCTCCACTTTTGTCCGGTATTATTGACTTCAGGGCTTTGGATATTCAGAGAAACACACTTAATGTGAAAAACGATATTATTTTATCGAAACCTTAATTTTTTCAGTTTAAATGTTTGGACCAGAGATTGAAATGATTGACTAAAAAATGCTTATTAAATGTGACCATTATATGAGGTCTGCATTCAATTTATGCAATTTCTAATCAATGGCTCATATCTTATATATTAAAATTCAATATATCTTTACAATTATAGCTGTCTTTTCTGTTGGGGTTCTGTCACTCATATGTTTGTCAAAATCACATCAATCTATCACTCGTCGCGAGTTTTAATGTACAAAATAATAATTTGCAAATATTTAAATGTAATTATAAATACAATTAACAATTTTATTCGTGAACTGTAATGTTCGATAAACTTTTGGACAAAAAAAGTGAATTAAAAGTGCTGTCAAACCTATCGGTAATACAGGGGTCATGTTTGGGACCACTTTTATTCATTATATTCATTAATGACATTTTTAATCTCAATTGTGTCGGAAGTATGTATCTCTTCGCAGATGATATAACGTGTATAATAAGCGACAAAAACATTACAAAATTGAACGAAAAAGTGAATCAAAATATGCAACTTTTAAGTGAATACTTTACGGAAAATCATTTGATTCTCAACACAAGTAAAAGTTATTATACATTATTCGGAACAAAAACAAATGATTTCAACGTTAAGTATATGAACGACAATATATGCGAAACTAATAACATAAAGATTTTGGGCATAACTTTTGATCGCCTCTTGAAATTCAAACCACATATCGATTCCATTGCGAAGAAGTGTTCAAAAATGTGTGCAATATTTTCAAGAGTCAGGCATTTTCTACCGGTTTTTGCATTAAAACTGTTGTATAACTCATTAGTTGTGCCACATATGACATACGGGAGTTGTGTCTGGTCTCAGACATACGATAACCACTTGAATAGGGTTTCAATCATTCAAAAATCGATGGCCCGACTTATACTTAGGGCTGACTTTAGGGCACACTCTAAGCCCCTATTCAAGGAACTCCAATGGCTCTCATTTGATAACATTTTAAAATGTGAATTATTTAAATATATTTATAAAAACATTAATGGTTTGGGATGTGATCAACAGTTCTTCGAGTTCGAGCCCCAGCGGAGAACAAGGTCTGCAAACCGCAGGACATTAAGGCCATCGAAAGCCAAACATAATTACACGCAAAACACTATTTTCCATAAAGGCGTGAAATTGTGGAACGAATTGGATCTCTCTCTTCGAGAATCGATAGATTTTAATAAATTTAAAAGCAATTTAATTAATCATTTTAAATAATTTTTTTATATTTTTTATGTATTATTTATAATTCAGTGTTTTTGTAAAGAACATCATCTTTTAGGTGAATGCAAAGCACTTTAAATAAACTGATTTGATTTGATTTGATTTGTGATAATAAAAAATATTCACCATGGTTTATTATACAAATAAAAGCATAATGAATAAATATAAGAAATTAATAATCAATTTTACGACTAGTGATGTATAATTTACTGCTACTCTAAATATCCATAAATTATCAAATAATTTAATTAACCATAAGTTTAATGGATTTTTACAGATAAATGCCATAAATCTGGTGCACAATTATACTGTAATTATCTTTTCAAATCAATTTAATTACTTAATGAATAAATTCCCAAAATATATAATATTTACAAATATTTTGAAAGTTAAAATCAAAACCTTGAAGGCATTGATGTTTTCAATTAGACATTTATACTTTTTATATTCTCCTTCCCTTCTGTTCCCTACAAATGATTTTGACATCAAATCCTTCTCCGGACGGGATTACAGGCAAACTATGGGTTCATAATTATAAGTCATGTTTTTAGGTTAAAATATCCTAATTTATACCTTATATAAAACACATTAAAGCACGTTATGGACACATAATATGACTTTACAATATTTATTTACATTTTTGTCTAATTGTTATCGTTTAAAATTATATCATTTAATGTAAAGATATTTTTTTAATAATAATATTTTTATCATAGTCAAAGCGTTTTTTGATTAATTACAATCAGTTTATGTCACACAAAACCTATTGTTTTATCATGTTGACAAAATTTTTTTGCAGCAATTTATAAACACATAAAAACAATACTTTCCAATGAATACAATACAAATAACAGCTTTTATTTGTATTTTACACTGTATTGCGATTTTTAAAGATAATACTAGGGATGAAAACTCAAACTCAATACTGATTTCATCGTTACTTTAGCTCAATATTTAATTTTCTATCTGAAAATATAATCACTATTAAACAAACATAGCTTTTCATTAATAGTATTGATGTCAAATCGACAGTAATTTGTACTGTATTTCATTGAATTGTGATATATTTAAATTTAACTTATAATATGTGTATTCA